TATCAAAAAATATCGTTTCAAGTAATTCATTAAAATTTAACAAAGAGCACAATATTGTCAAGAGTTTGCGTAACAAAGATTGTTTCTATCTAAAAGCTGATAAGGTTTGGTTGTTATATTAGATAAAAATGATTTAGTTGTTGCTGATTTGGTTGTTATATTAGATAAAAAAGAGACTATTACGATAAGGTTAACAACTTAATCGATAATGGCCCCTACATAAATTTGAAAAAGAATCCTTTGTCTAAGATGGTAGCAGACGTTAAAAAAACTCTAAAAGAATGTAACACCTTTATTGATCTTTCTTTAAAGAGGAAATTGCAAGTATCCAATCCCTCATTACCAAAATTGTATGCTTTGCCAAAATTCATAAACCGAACAAGTCTATACGCCCAATTGTTTCGGCTGTAGGTTCTCCAACTTATAATTTGGCAAAATGGTTATCAAGGGAGTTCGAAAGTTTACCTGATCATGAACCTTCTTTCTCAGTTAAAAATAATATTGAATTCATTAACAAATTTAAAGATATAACATTGCATGAAGGTGAAATTTTGGTCTCCTTTGATGTATCTTCGTTGTTCCCAAGTGTTCCAATTCCACATACTTTAGGCTACTTGAAGGAATTACTGAACGCAAATGGTCTCGACAACAAAACTGTGAGTGAATATATTGAGCTTACATCGTTATGTATGAAACAAAATTGTTTTCAATTTAATAACAACTTTTTGAACAGCAGGAAGGTACAGCAATGGGTAATCCATTGTCTCCATTTTTGGCTAATTTATTCATGAGCAGGTTTGAAGTGGAGGCTAAGAATCAGTTTGAGTATTTTCCAAGAGTATGGTTTAGGTATGTGGATGATATTTTTGCTGTTTTGACACACATTCAGACACCATAGATAATTTTATTTCTAAGTTAAATAATCGTTTTCCTTCCATTAAATTTACGCATGAAATTGAGAACGACAGATTACCATTTCTAGATGTATTAGTTATTAGAAATACTAATAATTGCCTGGAATTTGATATCTATAGGAAAAATACGACCACACGCAGATAGAATCACATCATAGTGTTGAACATAAAATGGCTAGTTTAAATTTCTTAGTTCATAGATTACTTAGTTTCCCACTTTCCAACGAAAGCTATGAAATAGAAAGAGATTACATTAGGAATGTAGCTGAGTGGATATTCTATTCTAGCACCATGGATATTCTCCTTCACTAGTTGATAAATTAATTAGAAAACGTAGGTATAGGTTTGGCTTGGTAATGATTTCTGAAAATTCGACTTTTCAAGTGGAGAAAGATACGTCTAAATATTTTTCGATACCGTTTGATAGAGAGTTATCCCGTGGTCTAAAAGGAATTTTTAAGAATGTTAATTATAAACTTGTGTATAGTGCTAATAATAAATTACAACAATTATTAGGTAATCCAAAAGATAAAACACCTCCACTAGAAAGGTCGGGTATTTATGAAATTTCTTGTAAAGATTGTAATCAGAAATATGTTGGGAAAACTAGAAGATCAATATTAACTAGATTTAAAGAACATTTAGCTCAGATAAGATATGGTAGACCGGATAAATATTGCGTTGCCGAACATATTGTTGATAAAGGACATTGTATAGATCTTAATAATTTAAAATTAATTAAACACATCTCAAATTACAGGCAATTAGATGCATATGAAAGCATCAGAATTAATAAATGTAAAGATAGTATGAACAGAGACAACGGTCCAATTCCTTCAAGTTCTTTGTTCCTACTACTCTAGTGGCGGAAATCTATTGTTACGCTCAGTTGGCTCTGACTCGGCTGGCTAGTTTTTGCCACGCCCACTCGGTGCCCACTGGGCGAGTATATAAACGCTCAACTTGTAGATTGTACTTTAGTTTATAATCATCTGCTGATGATGCTAACATGGTTAGCGAAACGCGCGTCCAGTGTAAAATAAAAGTGTTTTGGTGTATTGTGGTGATTTAGTGTTTTTATTTTGCAGGTTATATATGCTAATAATTTTAAATATGCATAATAATATTATGCAAACCTGCAGTGGGTATTTGCTTTGTCTACACCTTTTTTAAGGCGTTTCTCTTGAAAATAAAAATAGAGACGGAAAAGCTAATTGATGATTGTGAAAGAACCGAATTATCACTATCGCAATATACAAAGCTCTTGTGGTAAAGAATATCTTTTCAAAGATGTCGAAATCCACCAAATTCATTTCTTTTAATATCTCCTACACCCATACCCATCATCTTTTTTACAAATGATTCGCTGTCGTAGGAAGATATTTTCCAGGTAATATATATCCTGAAACGATATTTTAACTATTTCCGCAACTGCTGCTCTAAAATTTCATACAGGGTGTTTCAAAAAAAATGTGCCATCTCTCGTGGGGAGATTCCTCACGTAAAAATAAGATTTACCTTTTATATCAACATAGGTCCGATTCTGCTTTGTTTCGTAGCTACAGGGTGTTAAAGTCTTAATAATCTTTCGATTTATTATAATGTTCTTCCAAGTGTTTTTAGCGATTTGAATGAGATTTTGAGGGTAAAAGTTACTATGAGTGCTACATATTTTAATGCTAAAAGAGTGTCAATAAATTCATGAGAGATGTGCATATGGGTTATCACTGGAATATTTAAAAAAAGCATGTGCGCCACTGACTTTTTTCTTTTGGTATCCAAATTGAGTAAGCCGTTTAATGCCAATTAAAAGTTACCTGTTGATATTTTCTCAAATTCGACTTTCCTTGATGAGATAAACGCAATTTTATTAATCACAATTAAATAAAATTAATAAATTATATATTTTTCCTAATTTATTATTAAATATTATTACTATTAGGTAATTATTACTATTAGTTCAACCTACAGCAATTTCAAATAATAAAATAATGGTATTTAAGATAATTACCATAAATCTAATTTCAAAGAGTTTTAACATCCTGTAACTCTAAAACTATATGCAGATATATTTCCATACCCATATTTATAGGAACGTTTTTTCATATTTTTTGATGAGGAATCAATGAGTACTTATTAAAAACTTTTGCAAGTTAATGATATTAATTTTTTTTAAAGGTTTCTATTAGACTTGGATCAAGGCAAATTAATAAAATTGCCTTTATCTTCTCAAGGAGGCCGAAATCGACAAAATATCAAGAGACAACTTTTAATCGACATTAAACTGCTTACACTATTTCGCTAAGAGGAAAAATGTGAGTGACTTACATGCTTTTTTTAGAAAAATATTACAGTGATAACCCATATGCACGTCCCTGGTGAATATGCCGACACTTTTTTAGCTTTAAAATATGTCGCACTTATAGTAACTGTTACCCTCAAAATTTCATTCGAAACGCAAAGTACTTGGTAGAAAATTATAATAAATCGAAAAAATATTAATACTTTAACACCCTGTAGCTACGAAACATAGCAGAATTGGATTTATATTGATATGAAAAATAAATCTCATTTTTACTTGAGAAATCTCCCGTTTTTTATAACTCGCACATATTCGCATCCGCTATGAGAGAAGCCTACGTTACAATGCCGAAATAAGACCACCGTATAGCTACAATTCGGTCTTTCTGGTTTAAGCAAAATAATTCTGAGGCATAATTTTGAACCAAACAATATAAATTACGTACAGAGTAATGCTATATAATCTAGTTAAAGATTTAAGACAAACCCAATACCATCTCTAAGAGCATTAACTCTGCAGATAGCTCTCTCCATTGAAACGTTTCCCTCGACAGTAGGGGCAATTCTAATGCTAAACATCCCCCAGAGTCAATCGCTACGAGCAAATTTTACCAATATCGTTAAATCCAGTCGATCTAAAACTCCGCAATCCCCTTTCTCCAGCGTAATTCCATCTCCATTAGACGTTAAACCAGAGCAACCCTATTCTCATTAAAAGCCTGATAATTGATATTAATTTTTTTTAAAGGTTTCTATTAGACTTGGATCAAGGCAAATTAATAAAATTGCGTTTATCTTCTCAAGGAGGCCGAAATCGACAAAATATCAAGAGACAACTTTTAATCGGCATTAAACTGCTTACACTATTTCGCTAAGAGGAAAAATGTGAGTGACTTACATGCTTTTTTTAGAAAAATATTACAGTGATAACCCATGTGCACGTCCCTGGTGAATATGCCGACACCTTTTTAGCTTTAAAATATGTCGCACTTATAGTAACTGTTACCCTCAAAATTTCATTCGAAACGCAAAGTACTTGGTAGAAAATTATAATAAATCGAAAAAATATTAATACTTTAACACCCTGTAGCTACGAAACAAAGCAGAATTGGATTTATATTGATATGAAAAATAAATCTCATTTTTACTTGAGAAATCTCCCGTTTTTTATAACTCGCACATATTCGCATCCACTATGAGAGAAGCCTAAGTTACAATGCCGAAATAAGACCACCGTATAGCTGCAATTCGGTCTTTCTGGTTTAAGCAAAATAATTCTGAGGCATAATTTTGAACCAAACAATATAAATTACGTACAGAGTAATGCTATATAATCTAGTTAAAGATTTAAGACAAACCCAATACCATCTCTAAGAGCATTAACTCTGCAGATAGCTCTCTCCATTGAAACGTTTCCCTCGACAGTAGGGGCAATTCTAATGCTAAACATCCCCCAGAGTCAATCGCTACGAGCAAATTTTACCAATATCGTTAAATCCAGTCGATCTAAAACTCCGCAATCCCCTTTCTCCAGCGTAATTCCATCTCCATTAGACGTTAAACCAGAGCAACCCTATTCTCATTAAAAGCCTTTTTAAAAGGGACGCGAATTATCTGCGTCGGAAAAGGGAGAACACACCGTGATACGGACCCATTCGAATAACAATTATCGAGGATAAGGTAAGAGTAACGTTAAAAAAAAGGTTTTATAAAGCGCATGCGTCGCAAATTCCACGTTATTCTTCGTCGGCGTGGATAAATTCAGTATGTTTCTGCTGGCGAAATCGGACGCAACGGATTAAGAGCAGAACTTCTTTTAGAATCACGCGTGTTCTCGCGATCGAGTTGAGTTGTTAAAACAAATATAAAACTTATAAAAACATAATAAACGGCGTATCGTATTATAATATATTGTGAAACACGATTAATAAAGGTTTTCTTTCTTGCATGATTATGGTCAAATATTTATATTAATATTTCTGTTGTAGTTTTTTCAAACTTTTTGTGGAACTACAACTAAAATTTATATTATAAAAATAATAATAATAAATAATATTTATTTCAAAAGTAAGTTAAAAATAACGTAAAACTAAACAGAGTCAAAGAAATAAAAATCACTTAACCTAGTTTTTTCAGTAATTTACAGATAGGTAATCCGTTAAATCATAGGGTTCCAAATTTATTAAAAATTTATGCTACTAATTTTTAAAAGGCACGATATTATCTATTCGTTTTATACCCATAATCAGGTAGGTTATTAAATAATTTCAAACAACAACAATATGGTCCTAATTCTGTTAATTTAAGCCTGTGGACTGGATAATTATAATCGGAATGCCTGGTCAATGCTGAATGTCAAATAGATCTTTATTTTTAAAGAAAAATACAAAACTGTTATATATTATATAGTATATTATTTTCTTTAAATTTATTTCTGAGATGATTTCCTAATTTTCATGCCTAGCATAATTCGTAGGGCTCTTTTTTGAACTAAAAATGTTTTATCTAATTCATTCGTACTTCCGTATATTACCATTCCATACCTGATGTTACTCTTTAAAACCTAAATATCTTTTTAATATACGCAGATTGTAAACCGATCTAGAGATTTTCTGAACAACATGTTTAACATAATATGATATGATCCTAAAAATTTTACGTTATTTTCTTGTGTTAAATGCGTATCGTCTGTAAGAATAATATCAGATTCTTGTATATTAATGCGCTTCGTTTGAAAGGAAATAATATTATAACATTTATTTTAGAATAGTGTTTCTAAGTTTATAATATATCTAATATCCTTTGAATTATCTTCATAAATTATGATTAATGACAAAATTCTGACTTTGAATTATCTATAAAATTTCATAAAAGATATACCCAAGTAGCATATATCTGACTTCGAACTAAATCTGACCTGAAGCGACGTCAGACTTTGTACAAATTTACTATTAAAAGCGACGTCGTTGGATCCGAGTCGGTAAATCCAACGATCTGTCGACGTACAAAATAACAACGTACCATTTTTATTAATTTACCAATGTCGTTCCCACGTTGGCTTGCACGACGTACATATACTTGAACTAACCCAACGTCGACCCGTTGTCCGAATAGGATACGTCTCTCTGATAATCCCTAAAATAACGTCCAATTATATTTTGCTGTATTTTATGTTCATATTTATCACCTAATTTACGTATCTCTATTTACGTCCGTAAATACAACCCATTAAGTAGCATTTACGGCCTAATGAACACACCTAATAAACATCATGAACATAAGCTAATAAAAAGTTTTCGTAAACAAACTTATTTTTTTTTACTATGCCTAAAACACTAAAAAGGCATTTATACATCTGCAGTATTGTTAGCATGATGCCATGTAGATATGCCGGTAACTTTTACAGTACAGTTGTATTTTAACCAGTTCTTTTGACCCGGAAGAGATGCTGCATTACACTGGTGCATCTTAATTTCTTTTTTTAGCTTAGGAAATCAGCAGACCACATTCTCCTCCCACATGTGGTTCCAATTCTTTTAAATTTTGTATGTATACTATCTTAAAAAAGTAGCTGCACATGTTTTTAAGGAGAAAACAAAAACTAAAATATAATTGCACAAATCCACAAATCACTGATACGCAAAAAGAGGTTACGCCTACGAAACCATTGAACCGTCAACCATCAAACATTTTTTGACAACAAACAATTGACCTATCATAGACCAATAACAGACAACGTCGGGAATCGTTTACAAGGAATACGAAAAATTATATGCTCTGTGGCCGACAACGGATGCTCCTACGTATGCCGGCCGATCGCAGATTTTAAGTGACGTACGTTGGAATTATATACGTCATAATACGATTGCCGGTCGTCCGGTTTGATGACTTCGGTCGTGTGAGACGATTAATGTTGGAGACCCGGTCGGAATTGGTATATAGTTCATACACTGAAAAAAAGGATCTCTCAGTCGAAATGAATATGACTTTGACCCAAAAGATTGGCGCTTTTCAATAGGGCCAAGAACGATGTTTCTTTGCCCAAAGCATTAACTATCTTTTCATAAGCTTTAAAAAATTACTTTAGAGAATAGAAAAATCTATCTGTCCAAAGTATTTCACTCTTGACCCAAAATTAATATGCAAAGAAGTTCTTGCTACAAGAACAATAGTCTCTTTGATTCATGCAAAAATTCTTGAATGAAAAGGGACATTTCTTGATTAAAGATACAATAGCGAATACAATTGACTCAACTAAAATTTATTTTGATCTAAAAGAAGTCTATACATCATATATACAGGCATATTACGAGGTATATTATTTTCTGATACATTTAGGTTTTCCTGTTCTGTAGTAAGTAAAGTGATATTATTTTCCTCGATAGTAGTTATTGCTGCTTATTCACTCTTTGGTATTTTTTGGGGTGATGCATCACTCTACAAATTACAAAAAAATGTTACATCACGATTAATCAAAGTAAAGCAAACAAATTATTAAAATTATAAGCTTAGGTCACATTTTGAATTTTTTAATACGACTTGAAATTCTAAAATTTTTGTAATTATTATTTGCTTAAAAAATCGATATACCTATATTCTTATTCTATCTATAGTCACGCATGCATTATCTAAACAGGGGCATTAGATAAATGTCTCTTACCTTCAAATAAAGCAAATAAATGCTCTAATTTCCATTTTTTCAGAAACTCCTTTAAAGAATCCATATATCCTAAAATTTGTCCATAAAAAAATGACAAATGCATGTTAATAACGATCACTAATTTGTTATACGATATGCGTTTAAAAAGCAAATTATGCAAAATTCCAAGTGGAAAATTCCAAGCAACCAAACCCGTGCGTACTATGATGTGCGACCTATGAAATGCGACGTACGACGTACGACTGATCGGACTGCCGACTGATTGTATATAGCGTCCTTTGTCATCGTCTTTGCTTGTCGTTATTATTTTTCATCAAAAGAGTATTTAGCTATTGGAAAAATGGCCATGTTTCTTGAATGAAGTACTTCCTAGCGTATTTTTGTTATTATCTTAAAACAAAGTAACTTGCACTTGGTTGAATGAAAATAGATTCAAGAGAAATTTTTCAATTTTTCAAGAGAACCAGTTTTCTTGAGTTAAGAGAGTTTTTCTTAAGGCAAAATATTTTCTTTTACGCTAAAATAAATTCTCTTGCCACTATTTTTTTTTTCAAGAACGATGACGACTTTAGTTCAAGTCTATCTTTTTTATCAGTGTATTAAGTCGGACACAATAATCCGCCATTCTATCCGATTGTCAGCCATTTTAAAATCGTTTTTTGTTTTTAAAATTTATATTCACATTCTGATTTCTAGTAGAATAATATTGACAAGGTTGAGTTTGGGGGGAACCACAGTACAGTTTTTTGATTAAACCAGCTAGAAAATAAAAAAATATATTTTGCGAATTACTTTTTTATAGATATTTTTATTTCATAAATCTACCTAATTTTGAAGGCGCTCGTTGTTTTCCGGAGTATTTTAATCAGATATATAAAAAAAGTGACTTCCGTTGACAAAACTGATGTCTGGATTAATGATTTAGAATTATTATAATATTAAATTAGGTAGGCACTTAGTTATATTCGGAGAGTGATTATGAATCCATTATTTGTAATTAGGTAGTTGTATTTTTATGTATTCTTGGTAGCGAATTTGAAACCAAACGTAACGTAAGTGCTTAGCGACGAATTTTAAGTGATTGAAATCCAACGTAATATGACGTTGGTAATTGGTAGAATTACATTCCCTATTAGGTCAGATACCCACGTCGAGGCGACCCGAATATGTATTCCCCATTTAGGTGCAAATAAGGGTCGTCAGGCGGTCGAACCGACGTTGGTACCCGACGTCGGGTTTATTGAGCGCGACGCATACCCGACGTTAGAAAACGTCCAAATGCTACTTGGGATATTTTATGAATATTATGATATTTTTGCCAAACTGACTTGATAACTTCACTTGATATAATTTCTAGTTATATTTTTAAAATACTTTAACCGGTTATTGTATTAGTGTTTCAAATAAACTAACTTTAAATAAATATAAAACTTAAATATAATAAACGGCGTATCGTAGTAAAATAGATTGTCAAAAACAATTAATAAATGTTTTCTTTCTTGCATGAATAAATTAAATAATTATATTAATTTTTTTGCTATTGTAGTTTCACAAAATTTGAAACGTTTTTTCAAACTAAAACTTATATTAAGACATTTATTTTGGAATATTGTTTCTGTGTTTACAATATATTTAATATCTATTAAATTATATATATATAAAATTTCATAAAAGATATATTTTATGATTATGATATTTTTTTCAAACTGACTTGATAATTTCACTTGATATAATTTGTAGGTATATTTTTTAAATATTTTAACTAGGTATTGTACACGTGTTTAAAACTAACCTAACAAGACTAAAGTAATTACAATTTCTCTATATATTAATTTCTACTCGTACTGTACAACTTTAAGATAACATATTTTGCATTTTATCATGTTTACATTTTAAGTATTATCCATGTTTTATAGGGCATCTGGTTTAAAATATTGTTTTCATCGAAAAATAACATTTAACATTATTAAAAAATGCTGGTTCGTGTCTAAAACCATTGGCCAGTATATTTTTTTCCTTTCTGAATATTGTGTTACTAAGTTCTTTAAATGGAAAACTTTAATATAATAAGTCAAATAATATATAATACATACATAATTATATACAAGTTAATATAATAAAGTCAAATAATCATATTGATATTTTCACATTTAATTTTAAAAATTATTTTTTAAAGAGTACAATTCAAACATTAAATAATTAGAACTTATTTTAATAAAAAATAATTTAATATTACACAATTTATATTATATTATATACAAATATTTTTAATT